TACATATGTGTATGCATGTATATATATATATATGTTATAGATAGATAATCGAGAAACATAGAGAGCGCGCTAGTGAGAGAGAAAGAAAGAGAGAAAAAGAGAGAGAAAAAGAGAGAGAGAGAGAAAGAGGCACATTCCGAGCGGATCACGGATGCTTATAGAAGCGTTGCGTAACGGCGTCAGACGAACAGCGAAATTGCGGCGGCTGCGGCAGCAGCAGCAGCAGCAGCAGCAGCTACCGAAACGCGTCGAACATCGCCAAGATCGAAAAAAATTATAGATCATCATCATCATTGTCATACGGTGTCCATAAGTTGGTGGTGGTGGTGGTGCTGGTGGTGTCCATACGAAAGAAAAATAATAAAATTCGAGTAGGTAGAAGAAGAAGAAGGTGGAAAAAAAAGGATTTTGTGCGAGTTAAAAGTGGATCATCATCATCATCATCATCATCATTATCATTATCATCGTCATCATCATTATTATCATTGGTGTCACCTAAAACAGGATCGGATACAAGGTGTTCTCGTGATCTCGATCAGGGATCGAGGAGAGGAAAGGAGAGAGAGAACCCTGGCCGCGTGTGAGAGTGCGCGAGTGAGTGAGCAACGACCTGTCGTCGTCCAAGAAGAACACGAAAAAAGCTTTCTTCAAGTTGCTAGGGTATGTTGGATTAGCTAGCTCCGAGGTGTGGGGACGGGGGGGATGTTCTATAAGTGGACAGGTAGAAAAGATTGGGGTGTTAAATATTAGCAGTGAAACAACATGTTGTTTCGTTTAAAATGAAATAGAAAGGAAATGAGAGAGAAAGAATATATTCCTTTGGTAGTATCGATTCTACTGATGTCTCGAAGCGTTTCAAGGCCAAATCTCGGTCGCTAGATCTACCACACATTTATTGACACAAGCACATCGTAAAATACACACTCGAAACGAAAATTAACGCGCGCACCCATAGGTATAGATAGAATTGTCAATTTTGTTAATTTTATTCTCGATCGATTGTTCTTATTTCGTATCGATATATTATGTTGATCACTTTAGCAGAGTAATATCAGAATGATATCGTTCGTGTTATCTTACGGCGTGATTAATAAACTACACCTGATGGCACGTGATAATCTAACGTCGGTTAATCAAACTTTTTATTATTATATAATTTTTGCATTATTTCGAATAGAATAAAATATTTGAAGATTGTGTAGACTAGACAATTGATCAATATTTGTACAAAAAAAAAAAAAGATTAAGTATTAAAAGGAGATTAAGTAATAAAAGCAAAATAGGGTAATAATTCTCATGTTTAGGTATCGTAAACGGGGGTGGTTGTTGTTCGGTGTTATCCCACAGATATTTAAGAAGGGGATTTAGCGAAGAGGAAGAAGAGGAAGAAAATAAGGAAGAGAAGAGGAGAGAAAGAGAGAGAGAGAGAGAGAAAAGAAGGGATAGCGATAGTAGTATTAGTGCTAATAGGTGTTGGTGGTGGTGGAGGTGGAGAAGAATGGAGCAACGTCCAAGGAGACGGGGAGCGTACGGACGTTGCTGACGAGGAAGGTGCGAGAAGAGGAGGAGGAGGAGAAGCAGGAGGGAGAGAGGAAAAAGAAGAAAAGGAAGAAAAAGAAAAACATAACTATAACTACTACAACTATAACGACGACGAAGACGACGACGACGACGACTACAACAACAACGAGGACGCTGACGACGCTGACGACGAAGAAGAAGAAGAAAAAGAAGAAGAAAACGAAAGAGACGAAATTACAACGACGAACGACGGTGCGTGCGAAAGTCACGAGACATGCAGCAACAGCAACAGTCCGGACAGCAGCAACAGCAATCCGGAGCACCGAACGGGGTGGCGGGTGGTGCCCAATTGCCTCAAACAGGTGGCGTCAGTCCTGCTCAGCCTGGTGCAACTGGCACGACTACTGCTACTAGGCCACAGGTGAACGGTGGTAGATTCGACTTCGATGATGGTGGTACTTATTGCGGTGGATGGGACGATGGCAAGGCTCATGGACACGGTGTTTGTACCGGACCCAAGGGACAAGGTGCTTATTCCGGTAGCTGGCATTATGGATTCGAAGTCTCCGGCGTTTACACTTGGCCAAGGTATGATATTCTTTTTTCTTATTCTTTTCTTTAACTTTTCGTCAAAACATTCACACGTGTATTTTTGTTGAATAACATTTTGAACGTTTTAGATTTTATAAATCTGACTCATTTTTCATCGTGGATTCTTTTTTTTTTTTTGCTTGGTTTATCTTACGTTAGTTTTTGTCCTGATAGAATAATAGAATTAAGTTGAATAGGTTTTCTTTAGAAATAGTATTAGCTTACGAAATTCCACTTTACGTATGTGTGTATAAGCGATAACATACTCGTTGTTGGAAAGCTTTTATGGATCATTCTTCTTTTTAAGAATTTTTATTATCAATCACTATGCTTATTGGACTAGTTCTAACTAGATTGAAAATTGTTATGCTTCTAGAATATCGTTATAGTCGTTAAAAGTTAAAGGAGCGTTTCTCATTTTCCATTAGCTAACTTTAATTAGTAGACGGAATATAGTGTAAAAACCGTGACGAAATGACACAATAGCAGCGTGTTTCGAAGCAGAACGAAGATACTTCTTCGTTCGTTCGAGATGTGCGACCTTGACACATATCTCTGTATATACCTGAACCACGGGCAATCTCCTGATCCTGAAAGTGGGTCATAAAGTACAAGGACACAGCATCCAGACCAGTAGGATTTCATTCGCAACAAAATAGGATTATTTCTATTTATCTATCTCTTTTTCTATTTTATTTTAAATGTAGTTAAATTTGAAGCTTTTAAATAGTTTGATTTGAACGTCGAATAAATTTCTTGTAAATATCTAAGATTCTTTTTAATTGATTGAAAAAAAAATAAAATAGGGAGAAAAAATAAAGAAGAATACTAGGAATAAAGTAGACAAAGAAAAAAGGTTGAAAAAGAAAATGAAATTTTTCTATTGGCATGCAACGATATCGATAAATTAAAATTTTAAATAAAATTTTTTTTCCACGACATCACGACTGAAACGTTTGTAATAAGTTCGACCTAAATGATTAAGCTTTCCGAGTAACGTGTATACGAACTAGTCATCGACTAAAAAATATACCACTCACTTTTCTTCCACCGAAATTGGCCAGCTTGAACGACGGAAGAATGCACCACACGATGCTAATTATATTTAGACCGATGATTAGCTGTCATAGTGAAAAAGAAAATAACAAAAAAAAAATTATACTCACTTTATATACAACTCGTATTTCGTATAACGATGAATCCTTGTTAAATCTTACCACCACCACTCGAATATAACAAATACAAATCGAAGATCAATGAAGAAAATAAATTATTACTAATGGATGATACTACTTGGGGAAAAGATTTTTTACGTTCTCGGTTAAATTAATTGGAACAACAATGAAGACCTCTCTCTTTTTTTTTCTTTTTTTTTTTCTTTTAAATCGTAAGAATACTTCGGATAATTATTCGACGAGTAAAAAAGAAAAAAAAAATGAGAAACGAATTATTAGAGAAAAATATCACGAAGTTACGATACAAATCGTGGTAATTAATGACTTACAGTTTAACAAATTCTTATCGTGATATTTACATCGATGTATGCAAATTACGGTATATCTTTTGTAATTGTAAATCATCCCCTTTTCCTGCAAGTGATACCATTAAATACGACGTCATATAAACCGTTAGCAATTAACAGGATAACGTTAGATGATATCTTCGTTTGTATGCGACACAAATACTAATACGAGATATTGTATATAAGTACTCAGGTCACGCACTAGAACGTTGAAAATCCTACGAAATGGGATAAATGGAAGAAAGATAGTTTAGAAAACGAGTTAGAAGAAGGGCGAGATTACTATCGTGATATGAAAGATAAGATCGATTTTTCTTCTTCCTTTTCTTCTATCCTTGTCATCTCTTGCAGCCACCCTCTCTCCCCCATAATCCTCGATTCCATTCCTCAAACCTCAGTTAGGTAGAAAAAAAATCGCATTGAAAAAGAAACGAGATGTAACTGTTAACCCATTTGCATTAGCAAAGTGGAATAATCCAAGCACGATGACTGTCATTTATCATCTTTCTTGGTGGAATAATCTAACTAGTGAAGAATTTTCATTTAACACCAAGGACTGGAAATAATCCGCGTAAGTGTTTGTGAACAATACGTAAACAAAATTTGAAGCTTTTAGTTCATCGTCTTAAAATTAGATTTTCAGTTGAGCCGTTCACTTGTCAAATTGATTTTTCTCCATAAAACTAAACGTAAATAAAATCGATAAGAACACATATATTTTTGTTCAATAGTTACGCAAAATGTGATCAAATTAATCAAAATTTGAAGATTAATTTAAATGCACTGACAATAAAATTAGAAAAAAAGAAAACAATTTTTAAAACGTTTTTTTTTTTGTGAACGGCATAATTGTTGATGTAAAGAAAAAAAAAAGACAATTTTTATTTGGGTTAACAATTATTTATAAAATAACTGTATAACTTTTAGAGTCAAAATTTGATTCAGATATTAACAAAAATTAAATGAAAAGAAAAAATGAAACCACATATTTTATAATTTTCAAATAAAATGCGAGGTAAAAGGGGCCCGTTGAGTGTTAAATTTTAAATTATATAAAATTTAAGCTTTTAATTAAAATCTTGATGTAAATGGTTTTAAATCTACATGTTTAAGTTAAACCGAAAATTATTTAAAATTGTTGAAAATCTTAGCATTTCCGGTTTCCTCCTTGTTCGAAGTAAAAAAAGAAGAAGAAGAAGGTGAAAAAAAGAAAAAAGAAAAATAGGGTGCACAGAGGGTTTTGGCGGGAGAAGGATGAAGATGAACGGAGAAATAAAATAAAATAATAAAAGAAAAAAGGGGAGTAAAAGAACGGGGAGTGAAGGAGAAAAGGGGGAAAGAAGAACGTCGCGTCGTATCTAGGCCGAGGGGAATCCGTCGTTTCGTTTCCGTTTTAACTGGAGCAAGGTCGTCGTTCCACGTTTTCCTAGGGAGAGCGTCCGATAAATCTTCTCTCGTTTCTCTTCTTCTTCTTCATCGTTCAGAATTGAAAATCAAGAAAAACTTTTTTTGCGTTCTAATCCTAGCAAACGAAATATTTACGATTTAAGATCATATTTTTTGATTATATTAAAATTTTCAAACGATTGATTAGTTTATTACTAACATTTTTATTTTTTGTTTTATTTTTCAAAATATTCCTGACGTTTATGTAATAAAATTTAGAATTTTCATTAGTATTAATTTATTTCGAATATAAAAAAATATCTGATTGTCAGGTAAATTATTATTTTTTTTTAAATTAAAAAAAAAATTTTTATAGTGTAAATATTTATATTCTTGTAAATAATATTTTATGTTTTCTGCTATTAGGATTATATAAAAATTTAACAATATTATTAATCAAGCATTGTTTTTCTTGTATTATACATATAATTATTAATCAATTATTTTAACTGATTTGATAAAAATATATTTCTTATTAGTAGTTTAATAAATTATTTATGAATAATCTCGCAATTAAGGATTCTTTATTTTTAATTTTAACGAGTATCAAGAAGTGATATCAATTATTTAACCAATAGAAACATTTATTACTTTTTATCAAATAATCAAATTTTTTACAGCTCAAATAGAAAAGATACAGATAAGATAATATTATTGAATAATTAGAATTTGTTTGTTTCATTATCAGAAGAATTTCATGAGCATAAAACATTCTAAAAAAATTTTCTGTAAATCGTTATTTTATAATTACGAATATCAAGAAAAAGAATCATTGAATTTGCTAATAAAAATATTTTTTATTTTTATGTCCTTCATAATGATCCTTTTTATTCCGACCATTAAATTTTTTTTTCCTAACTCAAGATGAAGATAAGATAGCACCAATGAATAATCTAAATTTTATTGTTACGTCGTAAGCGAATATTTTACATCTAGTTTATTTCTATGTTTTTTTTTTTTCGAATTTTGCGTTTCCAACGACGTCAAAGGCAGATTGTTAATCGCTTGAAAACATTTGACGTTCAAATGGTGACCCTAATGTAATATTGAGCTTGGCATATCATACCAGTTTATTTTCTCTTTTAATGCTAGGAAAGCACACGAGTCGTAGCCTTCTACGCTTTTTGTTGAACGAAATGTGTTCTAGAAAAAGATTCGACTGATGAACTCGACAATGAAAGAAAGGAAAAAATCAATAGATTAATAAAAAATAATAACATCTTGCCATTCTTTCGGTGAAAGCATTTTTCAATAATTTTTCTTTCTAATGCGAATCTATATATTATCATCTTTTTTTAAAAATCCTTTTGCATATTTATAGGTTATTTTACTATGAAAACATTTTTTTTTTTTTTTAATAGTATTAAAATATAAAGGTATTTTGGTTTTAAGTTCATTTCTTTATAAATCTTTCATAACTTATTTATTATTGTTTTTTTAATGTCAACAATTAATTCATACATTTATTCATATATCAAAAAGATTTTTAAACATTTCATTTAAAAATACAGATTTATAACAGAATAAAAGTTTTTCTTCTTCGCTAAATAAATATTTTCCTATTACTTCTATGATTTTAGTCCATCTAGTAAATAAATAAGAGAAAATAATCGTTAATAAAAGAAATAATGAACACTTTGAAAATTGATTATTAATTTTCTTATTTTTTGTATCCTAAGTAAACGAAAATGAAAAGAAAAAAAAAACATATTTTGAATTTATTTCAGCTCGTAGTTTAATTTTAATAAACATGTTAAATAAAAATTTTTTAACCTACAAAATCAGTAAGCAAATTTTATAAATCGTTATGATTAGTTTTAAAAATACGGTATTGTGAAACTTCATGAATTTTACTTTACAAAATCCTCCTTACAACTTTGTCGAAAACTTTGACAGTAATTTGAATTTTAAAAAAAATATTCTTGAAGAAAATATAAACATAACAATCTATTATATATAAAATATAGACATAACAATCTATTTGTTATGTTTAGATTTTTCACTCTTTTTTCGTAACAAATTCAAATGAAAAGATTTCGTTTTTAACCCTTTGAGTGTTGAATACTTTTACCTACAATGTCTTGTAGGAACAGAATAATTTATTATTAACCAAATTTTCATAATAAATTATGTTTAATTATTAAAGTTTTGGAATATAATTTAATTAATTAATATAAATATTAAAGTATTTTACATAAATATTAAAAAACACGTATATGCTTCGAACGATAAGGTTAGTAATTGTTACTAAACGCATATATGCGTCCATAGCACTCAAAGGGTTAAAAAAGAAAAAACCCGTTTTTTAAGTCAAGCGTAAATGAACTTGACATATTACCAATTAATAATAAATTCGTTCTATAAATTTAAACAAAAATACTGAATGATAAGAACGATGATTGAATTCTCTTTTGCATCTTTAATTTGAATAACACGAGATCACATGGTAAGCAACGGCGCCGCTGTTAAATACATTTGAATAATAGCTCATAGTAATTAAAATTTAATCGTTGTTTACCGAGGATGTATAAATTACGTCAAGATAATCGAGAACCGTATTCCCTCTTATATTCTAAACGTGATATACAAAAATTTTTATTAATATAATAATAATTATTAATAATACAAGATAAATAAAATCAAGCAATTATTACTTGCTCAATTGATTGATTTATAATCTACTAATAATTAACAACAATTTATATTATTTATTAATTATATATTTTATTTTATTTTTTTCGAGAGAGAGAAAATGGATAATAAAGTACGTAAGTATTTATTTTGAAAAAAAAAAAACGAATTTATAAATGTAAATATCATTGATTAGGTCTCTAATTATTTTGATTTACGAAAAAAAAAAATTTCACTTCAAGAAATATTATATTATAGTGATATCTTTTATTAATAAAATATCTTATTTCACAGTGGGTCGGCTTACGAGGGACAATGGCAAAATGGCAAAAGGCACGGTCTCGGAATGGAAACCCGTGGACGTTGGATTTATCGTGGAGAATGGACTCAGGGATTCAAGGGTCGTTATGGTGTCAGACAATCTACCACATCTACGGCAAGATACGAAGGTACATGGGCCAGTGGTCTTCAAGATGGTTATGGTTCCGAGACCTACGCTGATAGCGGTAAGTCTAAATAAAATTCATTCATTTCTTTTATTTTCATTTATTCTAACCGTATATAATTATCAATAATAAATATTCTTAAAATTCGGACACAATTTGTGTATAGATTTATTTAAATAATATTATTTTTATAATTTAATATAATATTTATTTATATGTATTTATTATATATTGAATACAATATTATATTAATACAATATATGTATAATTGTAATATTATATAATACAATATATATATTATAATTCATATATTAATAAATTAAATCTATAAATATAAAATATTAATATATATAAGTTAAATAATTTTATACAATTATTTTTACTTAATTAATCACAATTACTGGTTATCGATAAAATGCGTTATGTGATAAAAATAAATGTTGATTTATATTTTTGAATTTTTATTCAATGATAATTTATAAAGCAAATTCAAAATAAAAATTAAATAGAATTCATGATATAAATTTTATATAATATTATACATATTTATACTGATAAAATTTAATGAAGTATAATAAACACATTTGCTTTATTTTAAGTATAAAAATCTGTAGAAATAAATATAATTTTTCTGTTTTTGATTTTTTTTTTTTAATTTTTTACTTAATGTAAGTATAAAATAAAAGAAATAATGGTAGAAAATATTATACGTAGTATTTATATTCAAAAAGTCAAAAATAAAAGATAATAGAATCAGGTTTTACTTATGCATAAAAATCTATGGAAATAAATATAATTTTTAAACTTTTTTTCTAATTTTATTCAATGTCAATCAAGAATACAAAAAAAAATGTTATCTTTAAAATACAGTGGGGTCTTAATTAACTAATCATGAAGTAAAATTTATTGATAGATGTTTTATATTATAAATATCGATGAAACTAATTTTATTTTTTTTTTTTTTTAACATAAAAAGCTAGTATTACATATATATAGGATTAAAATAACGAATTATATTCTTAAAAAAGATCTGATTATTTTCAATTATTTATAATTTTATGGTTAATAAATAAAATTTCATTAATCTTTATTATTTGTTGTAATAGATAAATGCATTATTTCTTTTTGTATAACATAATATATTTAATTAATACTCGAGTTAAAAGGTAAAGAAAAAAGTGACTTTTAGGATTTCCATATTATATTCTTCCGTAATAGAATACTTTAGTCAACGTATCAAGTTTTATAAAGTTTATATGCCATTGAAATAAAACTGTATAAAGAATAAATAAAAGTTTTTGTTTTTTATCAAGAGAAAACATTGTCGACAAACATTCAAATTAAATCGAAATGTATTCGTGTTTCTTTCAAATTTTTGTCTTGTTAGTATCTTTTCTGTTACCTTCACTAGTTTGTCTACTGCTACTAAAAAATTATTTAGAACGTAGAAATAAGTTCTAAAAAGAAAAAAGTTTTAACTTTGATAAAACAAAAAGTTTTATGAAAAATAGATTCATGTCAGTCGATTTCTTAAAGTTGGTTGCTGTCGAATTTAATATAGGAAAATTTACCGTATGAGAAAGGAAGAAAATTTTGAAGAAAATGAAAAAATAAATCATAAGAATAGTGTTACAACTTTAAATTAGGGTTTACTATATCTAAACTAACATTGCATTGTAATAGAAGAAGATTTCATTTTGTTGAAAAGTTTCCGTAAAAAAAACAAAAACATCTCTAAGGTATAATACCTTTTTATTAATCATGCAGATTAATAAAGCAATCAAAAAGAACATAGGAAAAAATATGAGAACATATAAATACTATTTTTTAATACGTATTTTATACAATGTATGCATGAGTATACATATTTATAGTACTATTAAAACTGGTCACAAAATAAAATCTTATTTTGCATAGAAGAAACGTGTTTTACAAAATTTCACTCTGGTTTCGACTATTTCTTGAATTTCGATTTATATACATGGTTTGTTTCCTGATTATATTGATTAATTATAATCCTATTATATATATGCACATACATATTTATATGAAATTGAACAAACTTTACTATATCCAGTTATTTTGATGATTAAGTTTCCAAATGTTAATTTTAATTATATATTTTCCAAAATTAATATACTTCTCTTGAAAGTGGCATATTATCTGATAATAATTATTAAAGGTTATATCAAAGTAGGACGAAAAATTTGTTCGATCTGAACTTTCAAATCATCTTTTTACTTTTTCATTTATTATTCTCTTCATTAAACTAATACTTTCAATCGAAGATATAAAAATTAGAAGTATGAAAATTATTAATATAATAAGAGAATGACTTATAACCAAGTCGAATTTGCTAATAGTAGATCGAACCCTTGACACACCCTCACATTTAGTTGAGTTATAGGTACATACAAAATCTATGGTAAAAATATTCGAAGTGCGTTGAACACATGACCGTGACACATAGAATTTCTTTTTCGGTTTGCTTCAAGGAAACTCGTAAATAAATTTCGATAAAGAAGAATAAACAAGATATTAAAGGAATAGTAATAATAATTAGACGTAATGGAATTTAAATAAAAATTATTTCAATGAAAAATTATATATGATTAATTTGAACTTTTATTTAATTGTCAAATATAATTCAATTAATTTAATTAATTTTAGTAATTAGAGGGATGGATGATTATGTTGATTACAGCACATTTTCTTAAGTCGTGGAATTAAACTGGACACAGTAACCCTCATTTCGTATTTCATATTGATTTTTATGTAATACTTAAATTTTATGAGAACCCAGCCTCGCACAAATAAAAAATTGCAAATGAAATTAATATAACAGTGTTATAGATAGAAGTACTATAAATTGTTTTATTATATTCCTATAAATATTTATCAGAAGACTCTATTTTACATTTACTTATTTTAATTGAATTCAATACATTCTTAAGATCAAACATTTAAATAACAGTTTTTAACAGTTACTTTTCCATTAATCATTTTATAAAAATATTTTTATTATAATTGTTTTGTTATTACAAATATGAAAAACGCTACTGTATTTATTTATAACCAATCACAACTCCTTTTTTTCCAAATTGAACTTATAACACTTAAATAAATTGTTTATTTATTAGAATAGTAGATAAAAAGTCCAACCAAATTTCAATAATATATATATCTGCAATTATAACAATAGAGTAGGTCAATAATTTAAAAAAAATTAATTTTTCAATATAAGTAATTATAATGTGTGTAATATTAATAAAATGAATTTGATGATTTGTTTTATATATTGCAATTATTTATATTATTAAAGAAATCATAAAAGAATCCATTTATTCAATTAATTTATTGTCAAAAAATCTTATAAATATATTTATTTTTTATAATTCTCGTTTTTTCTTCAGTTCAAATTTATTTTGAAATTATAAACAAACGTGATGCGATCTGTATGTATAACAGTAAAACATACTACGAATGAAATTATAACATCTCCCCGTGGGGGTTGATAAGACTGTAATATATTTAATAAAGTATAAGATATGCACGTTTGATGTAAATAACATCGTGGTCATGCAAATTATTTAATTACACTTTCTTTATTGACTTTTTTTAACCTATAACTTAAATCCATAAGTACTTATATATTTAATTATTTTTCCTGTAACTTACTTATTTAATTATCTCTTCCACTTTGTTAACTTTTAACCTCAATTTACAAGTTTTAACTTATTTAATATATCGAGTTTTATTATTTATATGGAATTAATTTTTGAATAAATATTTGTAGTCGTTTTTTGCTTACTCGCTGGTCGAGAAATTGTTTTACATTAACATTAAATTATTATGACAGCATTGTTCTCGTTATTATTAGATAAAAATCTTACGTGATTTTTCTCACACAATACTTTTCACGTAATATCCGTCTTTTTTTTTTCTTTTTCTTTTATCTATTATTCATTCGCACATTTTGCTTTATACGAGTGTTTTTATATTATACAATGTGTGTGTGTGTGTGTGTGTGTGTTTATTACCTTTTTAAAATTATTAAAGTATTATATTTTGAAATTCATTCATGATGTTCATAGAAATCATAATGACGCACAGCAAACACGAATTCGAGAAAGTTTTTGTATATAAAACTTTAATTCCCATATGATTGCGCAATCATTTTATGCATATACGTATACATAAGGAAAATAAATTTTTAACTCAAAATATTAAAATAAAACTACTGTCGAACTATAATAAAAGTAAAATACAATTTGTATTTATGAAATATATAAGCTACATAAAATTTATAGTTTGATGTTTTGTAAATATCGCTATAATTTGTATTTCATTTTTTATTTGATTTTTATATTTTCATAGATTACAAATAAATCGTTAATTTTGTTTTCTATTCATAATAAGTTAATATTTTGAAACTTAAAATATGTTAACGAATATTAACAATACGAATTATCCTATTGTCATTTCGATTATTTTTAATTTCATATACTAACAAGTAAAATTTCATTTATTTTTATTATTTGTAGTTATTAAAAGATAATGTATTTTTTTTTTACAACACATGTAATTAATTTGTGAATTTTAAGGGGTGGAAAGGGGTGGAAAAATCAAAGGGGTGGAAAAATCAAAGGGGTGGAAAATAAATGGTTCTTATAATTTATAAATTATAGAAATAGTTTTTTCGGTGTTCTGGGAATCAGCAACGTTTTCACAGTAACACCACAAACTATTACACAATTGTTACTATTTTTAATTCATTTTCGAGTTCTTATTTGTGTGAGCGAAGATTCTCGACAGTTCCTATAATAAAATTTAAGGTAAAAGTGTAAAAATTATTGTGAAAAAGGAACTGATAATAGCTATGTTTGATTTAATAATTTGTTTTGAGAAAATGTACATTTATCAACAGACTCATCCATCCCATTAACTATTATTATTAATTATATTTTTTGTGATCTAAAATATTTTTTTTATTTATTTTTACCAAATTTTTACAAAAATTATTGACTATTACTAATTTAATTCCACGATTAGTGAAAATG